TATGTAATTGTGTTTGTATTGGTTGATAAAAAACCTGATTAAAACTTACGAAGTATATTAATTGCTTGTTTTTCCCTCTGAAAAAGCCTATTTATTTCGGCTAAAATTGGCTTTTTGTGATTGAGTTGCTTAGATTGAAAACTGACTTTGTCCTTAAATTGCACTTCAAAGGGCGGTGAGAAGGAGGCGTGACCGGTAGCGAAAACCGTTTAGATCTCGGCATTTATGAGTTAGTATCTCCCTTTCCCCTAACTGATGACTGTTACTTTAACGTGGTGGTAGTGACTGACTGACTGGTTTCAACATGGAACGCTGCACAGAAGTGCAGTAGCACTTCAACTTGCCACACCTCGTGTACCGTGCCACACAAAGGGAGACAAAAGAGAAGAAAAAAGGGCTTGACAAGCACGATAATAGGCATAAATTTGAGGGATAAAGGATAGTGACACGTAGAAACAATAGGGTTTTCATGTACATGGCTGCTCACAAAATGTCAATTCATCTGAGCTATGAATGAGAAGGAGGATTTTCAGCCATATCACCACCCACCAATTGTCTCCAGCCGTCACCGGATCTTCGAATCTCGAGGACTCGAAACAGTCAGGCAGTCTACACATCCCTACGTGGCTGGCTGGCAGGCTGAAACCAACTGTCGGATATTTGATGGACTGATACCAGCCAAGTTTTGCTCTGACCATCATCACTAGTGCTTTTCCAACCTGACATAGATACTATGTCAGCTAGCTTTGCTCGTCATGGAAAAATATAAGGCATAGCACTACTAACTTACAAGTAAATGGTTCTCTTTGTTCTTTCTTCCATTTTTATATTTTTGTTAATATTTCGAGTCAAATTTTTTTCTTCATTTTCTCATTTTAAAATATTATCACTCTGAATGCCCTGTCTAATTATTTCTGCTCGGTATTATGTAATGAGAGAATTAGATGCAAGATGTGTGAAAAGTGGAGTTTGGAGTAAAGCTATTATTATTATTATTGACGAATGTAATGTCTAGGCCTCCGTAACATATTTCTTAATCCTTGTCAATCGACCTGGCTTCATAACCTCATCGATTGTCTCTCTGACTCTTATTGGGAGTCGACCCTAAAGACTGTACATGCCAACTTATCCAGTGGCAGCTCGTAGCTGGTGTTAAGATTTTCATGCGTTCATAACTCTTAAAACGATTCCAAGCAGATCATGTGTCTGTAGCCTCAAAACGTTGTCTCATTTTTTGTATTTTTGTCACCCAATTCAATGAGTCAACTTCCATGGTGTAGGAAGTTCATGTCACATACTTCCATCAATATGAGAGTTCAAATACTTTGCTAATCATCATCTTCATTCGCCTTCTCTTCACTCTTTGACCATTTGGAGTGACCTATTTGAGTCTATTTGCTCTCATCGACTAGGCGTGTACCTTCAACTTTGAAGGAACTTTTATTGCCTGCGTCACCCAATCCGACAGACAAAGATTTTATCAATCCGTCCTATAAACTTGGCGTACCTAAAACAGAAGAAACAGAAGTATGTTGCCCAGGGTAGACCTTAGGGCGGTCAAATCCACAGCTTGTTTGAAGTAGGCTTGCATCCTCTTTAAGTGACTTCACGATTGCCCATAGGCGCTCATCTCCTTCACAGACGATATTTTTCTGTTTCACTCAACTCGTCGTGTTCCATTCATGCTTCACTCGAAGGACAGTTTGGTGTTTCATTTCACTGAAGGATTTCCTCATCGTGTGTCCTATCCATCCATTTTCTTCGGAATGTTTTCGAACAGTAGGTTCTTCTTTGGTTCTTCGCTTTTCACAGTTTCTTGTTGCTAATTCTTTCTGGAGCTAACGAAGGAGGCTGTTGATAAGAGTCTGCAGTAGCCCATTCCCAATGCTTTTCGTAACACGCCGGTCAAGTTGTTGACCGACTGACTTAACTTTAGTGTTGGACGGAATCCGATTTTTGTCGTTTATACTGAGGCGGAGTGGAGAAGATTCTCAAACTGATTTCAGAGTGATATAGATGTGACTTGGCTTTCCGACTCTGGCTGGTTTCGACATCCTTATCCGCGTGGTTGCTTGTAGTTGAAATAATTCTGCCTAACCAATTAAGTGAAGGCAGGAAGTGACTTCTTTCAAATTTCTTCCGCTGATAGTGATTTATTGTTGTTTACTGGTTGTTTCATAACCTCTATCTTCTCTATGTTCACTTTAAGCTTTGTCTTCGCTGCTTCTTCTGCCTGTTTGTTGGTTTTCGCCTGTAAATCTTTGAGTTGGAGACCTAGATTATCAGAGAAGTCAGGATCTTTAACTAACGAGCTGATTACAGGATTTCATCACAAGCTGAAATCGGTTACAGAACCACTGGAAAAGCTGGGAGTACTGGACGACTATTTCGCCTTACTTTGGGACTCTTCATCGGCGCGCACCCACCGGGATTTGATTCCAGGACCTTCTGGTTACAAGGTGAGCACATAGACCATTAAGTCACTGGGACTCGATCCGATACCAACTTCTGTCCCAAACTAGAACGAAACAGCTGTCAAGTACTCCCAGGTTTCCCAACGGTTCTCTAATCGACGTCAGCACATTATGAAATCTTGTAACCAACCAGTCAAATCCCTACAAAGCAAAACCTGAATAACGAGCTAGTACTCTAATTTTTCATATAATTAGCATGAGTTCATAACAATTTAGTGTATGGAAAGAATCTAAATTCTAACTAATTGAGTATTTGGGAACTGATGGTTGATGGTAATTTTTTTGTTCCTTCACGTTCCCCAGTGGAACATAGGGCCTCAAGCTAGTGTCTTGAAGTTTCTGTAGCAGTGTTTAATTTTACAGAATGGGGTTGCTACCCTCATGCCCAACCTTTCCTCCTTACCAGCATTATTTCTGGCTAGGCGGGGTAAAGGAGTGCGTCGGCCAGTGGTTGAACCCCGTACCATGTTCATGGTTGGTGAGCGTCCTAACCGCTGTGCCACCGACGCATGATGGTAAAGTAATCGAACAGTATAATCTCCTTTGAAAATCAGCAAGCCCTAAAGTTCTTTTTCATCCTAATTTGACGCTCTTCATCGATGTTCTACCACCTACTCCACCAGGGATTGAATTACTCATGACCATGGTCGTTCAACTGCTTGGGTCGGAATTCAGTGATCCTATCCTGCCATTACCACCATTGTCAACAAATCTGATCAATAAGCATCCACTTGACTAGTGACATGGCAGACCCTACTGGTCACAACTTGTCATCATCACATCTTCAGGACATTCATTCAGTTGGTTCATGAGGGAATCGACATTGAAATAAATTGACTGTTCAAAATAGTATTTTATTGGACTGTCAGTGGTTATCAGATCAATAAGTATTGGTTAGCTGATGAAAAAACAGCTTTTTACTTAAGTGTGTTGAAGAATCCTTTTGAAGTTTCACTATTACTAACATATTCTGTGAACTGCAGTCTTAGGAGTACCGATTTTTTGAAAATGTAAGCACCCAACACTTTTTACCTGCTACATCTATGTTTTTATTCAAGGATCCTTCATCGGTTCTTCTTTGAGTGTGTTTCATCCCAAAAAAATAAGTGTACTAGCACAGTGAACTAAGCCAGATTCTCTGCGCGCGCACAGAGTGTTCAGGACATTTACATTCATAATAATTTCAGGAATATGACTGTGGAATTAAAATTCCATAGAAATATTGACAGCAACATATTAATGGCAGAAAAAATAAAAGGAATCATTTACTTAGTGTTTCACAATATTTTTATAGTTTCATGTCTAACACTTTTTTCATTATCTAAATTAAATTGCCTGCTAAATAATCTATCGTGGAGTTTCTATGCTTAGTCGTACTCACGAGTACAAAGTTTTTGATAATTGCTTCTGTCTTGGCCACCTGGTGAGATAGTAGCGGGGAGAGTTGTGTTCAGAGTCTATCGGACAAGACTGATATTCACCAATTGCTTGCATGAATCCATTACTTGTCTGTTCACAACGATATTACGAGTAGGTGTGGCGCCACCTCACTCGCCTTACTAAAATATTTCAGTGACCTCGGGGTGACTAAGTCTTTTTTAGGTAACCTAGGAAAGATTAAAGCGGAAAGTAATAAACAATAGGTAGAATACTACAAGGCTTAACGTAGCGTAAAGGTGGAGACTCAGATTGATACCAGATTCTGTTAACTTCCTTACATTTGAATGTTAGACAAAATATTTTTTTAGATTTGGAAAGACCAGAAGTAAGACAAAATCGAGTATATTTAACATGCTAGTTGGTTTCACCTTTTAATGTCTTTTATGATATAAAGAATCAAGGGAACAAACTACTTCCATATTAGTTTGTTTATTAGATGTATCACAGAGTGAAACAGTTGCGAACAAAATTTATTGTTCATAATCATATCCATTGTCATCACACGACTTCGAAACTTGAATTTTATAGTTTTCTTAGTTCTCTTCTATTTGTCGTCGTTGAGGTAGTAGAATTTTCCAGATATCTGGGACAGGTGTTGAATCATTCTTGTTACATGTATTTGCAGTTGATTCGATAAACAAAGCTTTTGTTATCAATCTCTCCCTATACCCTGTGACATTAGATTTTAAAACTGTCATCCTATCCCATCCTATTGTATGGTTGTGTGCAATTGCATGTAGTGCTACCACAGTCCACAAGTTTTACACATTTATTAACAAACCACTTCATGTAAATCACGTTTGTGTCTGAAAGTGAAGTGTAACTATTTAATATTTGAAGGAATTAAATTGCTTAAGACCGTTTTGAGTCGAAGAACAACTGACTACTACTACTACTGATTAAAAAATCTACTCACATTTTGAAACAATTCTATTGGGTTGTTCCCGGTACTAAAACAGTCAAATCATCGACAAAGAAAGAATTTGTTTTTGTTCCTTAAGATCGGCTTTCTTTTTCATCTTCTTTGTGACTCAATAATCGATATTTAACCCTCACCTCATTTGATATATTTTATCTGTATTCTAGCTAACAACAAATGCTGATGTTATGGCCAGTCGTCAATGGAAATATTATATTGAGACAAATGAATGGACACGCGCCACATGTGCATTGATGGCATGTCTGTTCACTCGGGATCAGATGGCAAATTCAACGGTATTAGGTCGTGGTGGATCTCGACGTGCACGTCTTCCAAGCAATTTAGTAGCTTATGTTGTTAGTAAGTCATACCTATCAAGTTTTGTCATAATAATAATTATCATTATATGTTATGTTTTAATATATATTTTCATGAGTAGATTTGGATTTTGACGAATGAACCTAGAGAAGATAGTGAGAATGAAGATATCCCATTAATAACCAGAACAAAGTCGTTTCTTTCACTTTCCTGTGTATTACAAGTCGACTTCAACCGAGGTTTATCTTCATTAGACTCAGATCCACCCGGCTTTATGACTACCCGACAAACCTTCATTTCCTTCTGTTTACTTTGAGGACACACGTCCAAACTATTGATTATAGGCTCATTATTTATTTATTTATTTATTTTTGATTACAGCTTGATTCCACACTGTATTTTTGGTACAAGTATGGAATTTTCAGCATGGATATCGGTAGCCCAAATTTCGCAGGCCGACCATAGATATCAGGTGTGCGTCGGCGTGGGCTAGTGTAACAACAGAAGACAAGGGCGAAGCAACAGATCGTTTTATTATGAAAATCAACACGTATTTATACATATTTCAGACAACATTATTATAGACAAGCGCAGTCATCTGATTGGTTGTTTAGGTAGACAAACGCAGGCTTCTGATTGGTTGTTTCGGGATTCCTTGACAAACAGTTTTCTCTATCTGCGAATCATATTTTGCCACGTTAACTTCGCTGTGATTGGTTGTTGACTCAGCCTTGTTCACGGCCCATATTAGTGACCTAGACCTTAACGTAGATTAGTGCCAACCAATCGGCTAGCAGCCTGCTCTCACCACACTCGTCCCCCCGTCAAATACGTGCGACTGAAGTCGGCTTGATCTACTTGGTGCAGGCGTCATCGTTGGCTTGTCTCGCTGTATCCATTTCTGGAGCTCGCTGACGTTCACGCGCCTCTCATTGTTCGCCATTGCGACTGTGTCTGCGTAACCCCATCTCGAAGTGACCATATATGGTCCTTCCCACTTTGGAAACTGTTTGCCTGACCCTGTCGAACATTCGTCCATACTTCGGCCCACACCTTCATATGCTGCTTTCGCCCGACCTCCCAGCAGCGTCTCAAGTAGCAGCTCCATCGCTGACAGATCTTGAACGCCACTCAACTGCGCAGAAGCCTTGAAGTCCTGCCCGAAGATCCATATGTCTCCATCAAAAACTGCAGGGTATAGGCTTTTCATTTGTCGGTAGGCAGCGACACCAAATGTAACAACAGAAGACAAGGGCGAAGCAACAGATCGTTTTATTATGAAAATCAACACGTATTTATACATATTTCAGACAACATTATTATAGACAAGCGCAGTCATCTGATTGGTTGTTTAGGTAGACAAACGCAGGCTTCTGATTGGTTGTTTCGGGATTCCTTGACAAACAGAGTTCTCTATCTGCGAATCATATTTTGCCACGTTAACTTCGCTGTGATTGGTTGTTGACTCAGCCTTGTTCACGGCCCATATTAGTGACCTAGACCTTAACGTAGATTAGTGCCAACCAATCGGCTAGCAGCCTGCTCTCACCACACTAGAACCTCGGACCATATGCATGGTCGGTGAGAGTTCTAACCACTGTGCCACCGACTATCTTTCTGGCCAGCAATATAATCCTCAGCATCTGGGTAGCAAAAAGGAAAGGTTAATGAAAACCTACACTATTATCCTGTTGGGAAAATGCTTTTAGTGACATACGAGTAGCCAAGTCTCTGCTTCATACAAAAGCACACTGAATGGTTTGACATGAGTGTTGAAAATTCGGATCTTCTTCCCTATAATTAGTGTTATAGACATCAACACCGATCTCAGAGCAATAACCGCCTGTCATGATTCCAATGTCTAATGTTGAGTGACTTCGATATCCTCATCCGTACCAATACATGTAATTGAAACTGTCGAGGTTGCCAAGGTGTAAGTGTAAGATTTCTCGTGTTGCTGGTCTATACAGTGTATTCATTTGAAGTCGTATTTTCTCACCTTCTCCTACCAACTTGGTGGTTTTCGCTTGTAAATCTTTACGTTTGTCAGTCCAAGGTCTACCGCATAATTCAGCCACCACCATAATCAGAAAAATCCTCAGTAGTGATAGGAGGTTTTGTCTCATTCCTCTTTTTACTTCAAAAGCTTCGGTGAATTTTCCGCTGTGAATTAATCTTGACATGTGGCATTATCATGTTGCTGTTGAATGAGCATTTTTAATGCTTTGCAGCACTACACTCCGTAATTTTGAGACAGCTTGCGAATTACTTCATAGCCGATGTTGTCGGACGCCTTTCCGAAGTCTCTGAAGTTGAAACAGGGATTCGACTACCATTCTACTAATCTCTGAGCTGCAAATATCCGAGTATAATTGTTGAAAAGTCGACTGCTGAACAGATGTCACCTTTCTCAATTCCTTTCTGATATATATATATATATATATATATATATATATATATATATATATACATATATATATATATATATATATATATATATATATATATATATTAGCAGCGTAAGCGACCTGAATTCCAACCAATAGGGGATGATTTCCAATTCGACTCCACATAGTTCAGTCTTGTCCAACACACAATAAGAATTCTGGCTCTTAGCCTTGGGTACTACGTGGCTGAGTTTTAAATTACTAGACGATAAAGATACCCTTTCATCTACAACAACACCAAATATCAATCACTATCAAACGGGAAAATCTAAGAAAGGTTACTTCTTTCAATTACCACTTCGACAACATTCATTCAACTACAGATCGTGACGAAGATTTTGCTGTCCAAGCAAGGCAGGATCAGAAAAATAGAACAGACCTTGACTACTTTGTAGTCAATGTGGAAATCTACAGTAATCAGCATAAGGAACAAGATCCGAATGTTCAACACTAATGTCAAATCAGTCACTGCTTCTATAGGATTCAAACATTTGACTTACACGTCACGCAAAGCATTTCCAACAACTGTCTTCGTTCCATACTAAAGATCAAATGACCAGCTAGAAAGGATAAGCAGCATAGAGCTCTGGCAACAAGCCATCCAGAAAGGAAATGCATGTTGGATCGAACTTACTGACGAGACTGTTGACTGACATCACACACCATCAGATAGACTCTGAAATGAAAACCCCCTGAAGATGGGAAACTAGTTGGGCTAATATCCGAGGAGTGGAAATGAGAGCTTGTCAGCGAGCGTGTAGCCAGCTAAAACTAAGAGATTGCAAAGTACAGAACGGAATATTATCACCAGTAGTCTCCAGCCTTTGGTGATTCTTAGCATCGCAAGAACCCCTACCACCCAGTCACTCAGTCTACGCCTCCCTATTTGGCTGGCTCATACTAACTGTCATGGACAGATTCATACCAGGTATTGATTTAAGAAAGGATGTGTCTTTGGATGTGTAACATATATCCCAGATATCTCAATGGATGTAGCGCTCCACCACCTCATCGACTGACTTCCCCTGCTCCTTACACTCGATATGTAACTACTTCACTGTTACACCCCATATTTATCACCCCTTAATACACACGAGATATAAGGTAAACACATCTGATTCCAAGTCTCCCACTTTCAGTGACTAAGTTCCCACTCCGAGCCACGTTTTTCATCGATAGCTGGTCGGATATTAGCCCCGCCTACACCACATATTATCAACAGGATTTTTGTCAGTTGGCATCAGTGGTATCTTTGAGTTGGAGCTAGGCTAGATAGCTGGATAGATAAACAGTTGGATAGCTAGATAGGTAGGTAATATCGACCACTTTCACTACAACAACAAGACCAACCACTACTACTTCTATTTATTGTTATTTTTTGTTTGTTTTTAACCACTGTTTACTCTTACCTTGGTGTTATTTACTTGTCCTCTCAAGTTAGTATTAACAGCATTAAACAGAGTACCACTTGTAATAATGACACATTACTATTATTCTAATGACTAATTCTGATTTCCAAGTCTGATTGATTGCCTACAGTCGGGTTTTTTTCACACTTTTAGCAGTACTTATCATATTCTACACAAGATTTATGAATAGAGTTTTTGATTGACTGAATTGACTGTTTAAAATTTCTTTTCATTTACTCATGAATAAAACAGGGAAGAGAAGAGAGAGAGAGGAACTCTCCAGTGACTCATAAGTCGTACTACTTAGTAAGGTTAATATTGCATATGGTGTAATGTTTGTGGTTTGTGGGTAAAGCATGTTTTGGTCTGACTTTTTTGATAATTGTGAACTGGACTGGATGCATACTGAAATCTGTATTATTATTATTGAAATATAAACTTGGTTTATTATCCTCATCAAGATGCCTGCTGGAATACGTCCCTGACGCCTAGACTAAAGTAGATGGCTGTCTAAAGAGACCACTCCACCCCCGAGCCTTTAACCTGAAGGCAGTGTAGCGAATCCGTTTCAGGAGCTACTGTATTCCGAAGACAGGTTCATGCTTCATGTGATCCTTTAGAATTCTGTAGCCCGTGTACATACACAAACACCATAGGTTTCGAGACAATGAGAGTTTTTCAGGCCGCGTCTACATCGATCAAGATATCCCTCAATCAATCCGGTTGCAATTACTAGACACCCAAATTTGCTCTTCGACATTTTTCTTGAAGAACACCCACCTTCAAGCCACGTGAAGTCACTGAGGCTGTGGACGTGTGGGTACATAAAAGCATTTCAAGATGGACAGAGGTGAAGAGAGACCGAAGTCTACCTACTCTGCATCTGAATATTTAATATTATGTATTATCTCTTAGGTCATTGGCTTAAACACTTTCCGGGATCCTAATCGGATACCATACCTTCGTTAAACTAGAAGAGACTCCCGCTTCACACACACACACACACTAGGCATCGCTCATCTTGCGTACTTCATGAGAAAACCTGAGTTGATCAATAGTCTATGAAATCATGTGTAATATTTCGTTATTGTTTTTTTGGCTATGGTTCTCTGTTGCGCTTTTTTCTTTACTCGTAAATTGTATAAATTCTATCACAGTTGGTCCCTTTTTTGTGTCTCATCTCATC